TTTGAATTCAGTTTTTGGGTGATTCACTGAAGCAAGTTTGGCTCATTGAGCCATGGCAAAAAATAATGGTTGTTTCTCATTTTTCTAATGTTCTAATGTGTCAAAGGATGCACATGTCTGTTGCTAACTTCAGTAAAAATTCGGCTGTTCTGAAAATCTTTCCCTTTCAAGCACTTACCTCAATCTTAATGTGGCTCACATGGCCAAAAAGGTTCCCGACCCCTGACTTAGAGGAATTGGAAATTTAATTTGAAAGCCATTCTTAAAGGAACCCCTGTTGTCAACTAATTTTGTTTTCTTTCCTTGCCTAAAGCTAGGTCATAAACCATTGATTGAAAAGACACGTGCTAGGCCTCTGGGAAAATTCAGGGTTGCCAGGAATGAAAGGATAATACTTTATCGAGGCAAATTTTTGTTTAATTGGTGCATGCCGCGTTATTATACCTAACGCGGTCATTAAAAAAAAAACTATTTAAAAAAAAATTGAAGATTCATAACTTACAAGTGATTCAGGTGAATTTATTGAAGTGGCTCAAGTGATTCAAGGGATTGCGATTTCCCAAGTTTTAAGAAAGTGTTTTAAATTCATCTCGAAGGGTACTAAACGACTGACATTCATCCTTCCTCATCTGCCTCGTGCATAATGCGATGGTCGATTTCTCAGTCACAAGTCAAGGTAGAACAACCCAATTTGGCATCCCTGTCACTCCATGAAGCTCTGGCGGCGATGGTTATCTCCTGCCCTCTTTCCTCCTCAACCCGACATAAATCATGGGAAATATCAGCCTTTAAGAAAACACCAACTCCTCTATCTCAAAATTGAATTTAGCAAAATGTGTTTCTTGCCCATTTCATGGTCAACATTCTGGTGAACCATGTGGGCACAGATCTTCCACAATCCCTGCTTTTCGTGCAAGATGGTTTGAACACTACCCTCTAAGACACCCAAGACCTGTACCAATTCCCTCGTTTTCATTCGTCTGTCCTCCATTACCAGCTTTCCTACGGTAATTAGGCTTTTTTCTGTGGTCTCCTCCGTAAGTCGACCAAGACGAGAATAATCTTGGATTGAATCGCGTCCTCGTAGAAATTCAATCCACTACTATACTGCGTTGAAGGCGCATATGACTTTTCTGTGGCGACAAGCCTTCCTTTGATAAAAACTTGAGAACAGATCGGTGCTCAAGTTAGTGAAAATCCATGAAAATTCAATCTTACGAAAAGATGACAAAATGTTTCTCCACGAGATTCAGAAATCCGTGGGAATCCGAGTGACCCGTTCTGGGCTCTACCGTCTCATCGATTGCCATCCGCGTTTGCGCTCTGGGTGCGAGTGAGTTCCCATGTGCCTTTCCCGTGGTTCCACATCCAGTCGATCACTCGACGATGCGAGATCTCCATGGGGCTTTTGGAGGAGTTCGATAATGTGGAGATAGTGCTCATCACCTTCGCCTTTCTTTTCCTGGTTTACCTCACGCGCAAGACGATCAGAATGGTGCTCGAACGGCACGGAGCGTCCCCTTTGGTCATGGGCCCTTCGAGGACGAGAATCATTCCTTCGAAACCCACTCCCGATTCGGCAACGAATGAGAAGTGTGCTCTCCTCGACTCTGGTGGTGAATCCAGCGAGCGGTGATCGATGACTCAGAGGAGCTCAAAGAGGCATTCTTCACGTGGAATTCACGCCCTTCGGCAAAGGGATGACATGCCTGCGCCCAGGAGGACCAGGACTGCGCGTATTCTCCTCTAATACCTCCATAGACTTCCATTGAGATTCCGTCTTCCGATCGATGACGTCATCGAAAAGGAAACCCCAGCTGCGGCGGATTGGTTTCATGCCTGTGCCCTTCACTCCGTTGAAGTTTCCATCGATGGACTGACCCCTACGAAGAGGGGGATTTCCCGCCCGCGCTTTCGAGCCAGTGTCACCAGAACTCAGAACTGCATGCAAAGCAGACCTTCGACACTCGCTGAACCCTTTCCACCGTTAACGTGGTAGAGAGTAGAAATTTGAATTCCCCGGTCCCCCACATAGCATAATATTATATATTTGTATAGGCTAACCACGTTGTGAATTTTCAACACACTAGTGAATGTTTCTGATATCTACGATCGGCAGTATGGAACTCTTTGCGTCTATGGGCTTGGTAAACCTTGTGCATCTTGTTTGAATGTATTTGAATGGGTCGAAGTGTCATTCGCGATAAATTATATAAAAATATTAATATATTTTATCACTTGTATCTGTGGCGTCATGACAGAGTGCTTTATAAGAACCATAGTCATAGCGTCCACCTGTAGTAATCGTGTTGCTCACGGGAAAAAAGGGGAAAGTAGTATTTCTATCGTGTTAGTTGAAGAAAATTCAGGGATTTATATCAGGGATATCATGGGCCGCTGACAGGGATAAAAGTGACGACAGCGATGATCTGCGACAAAAACTGGCAACGTTGGCACTCAGGAATGTACAGTCGAACTCGGTTATAACGACGGTTTTTACCTGGTCCCTTCGATGACGTTATAACCGAGTTCGACTGTACTGTTAAATAATTCCTGCAATAATCCCTGAGATGTGTCATATTTACTAATTATGCGATTTTTGTCAAAAAGTGAATAAATAATAGGGCTGGCTCAGTCAGAACATTGTAGGAAAAAAATGTGCGGGGAAAAAGGTTAAAATGTGGGGAAATCAGGGATTTTATTGAAATTGCAAGTGCAGAGTTCCCTCTTGGCATAAGCGTAGCGTGGATGGAAAGTGGGGGGGGGAGCACGGGAATACCGGGATACTGCTATTGTCCATTTCTGGGTCTTTTCCTCATATTTTTGTTTCATTCTTGAAAAATGGTGGGGGGGGGGGGCACGTTCCCCCGGCCCCCCCCCCCCGACGCTACGCCGTTTTGTGGTTGGGGGGGGGGGGGGGGGGGGGGGGGGGGGCACGTTCCCCCGGCCCCCTCCCCCCGACGCTACGCCGTTACCTCTTAGCATTTGTTCGAACTTCTTTTTCTCGATGGCAGTGGTTGAGAGTCATCCAGAATAACTCAATAACAAACAATAACACATTTACTGAAAATGCAAATGCACAATCAATTGCATAAGATTGCTTTGGCCTGAGGTGACATGCCTCGTCACGATGCAATCTCAACGACCAATAGTAGCGTTTTATAGCTGGGTACATTTGCTAAGTGAGTTTTGGCGGGGGACTTCCGATGAGATTTGATGCAGAGTCCCTCCTTTCGTGTCTCTCGTCGTCCCCATTCGGAATTCATCTCCCTGTCTATTCTCTCTCTGTTGTGACGCCATCGCCGTAACCAAAATGCGCGAAAGCGTCCCTATAATTGATAATTTTCCATGTGCCCTGCCAACCCTCGAGAGGGCTTCTTTTATTTTCCTTTCATTGTTGGTTGTCCCATGCAGTGACGACGGCCGCCATAATCGGGCTTTCCCATTAACTTCCCGTCGCCGCGGAATGGGTTAAGGGCCAAGACAAGGAGACCGAAGCGACCGTCAGTTTGAGAGGAGCGTATTTGATCGAAGAGATAAGTCAGTGCTTTCATTCGCACATTTGAATGATGAAATGGATAAAAGACTCTTTATATCTCAAGTACGAGAGATCAATAGTGCAAGTTTTAGGAGCCTATCTCAGTTTGCATACATGATTCCTGATCCAGAAATGGAAGTACGATAAGCGATACCTTCCCACAAATACGAAAATACTCGGTCATTGGTTGCAGAAAGAAACCCATTTCTAGGCCACTTCTCAAAACCTTATTCGAGCAATGGGGAGCAATATAGTAAAAAATTCTTTTATAATGTTGTGCCCGCGATAAATAGTTTCCCGGTACGTCAAGAATGTCACCAGTGAACTCAGAGAAGTCAGAAGACAACGAAATGGTGCTGACGGTCTGATTAACGCACCCCATAAGTGGTCTCCGCAATTATCATCCTTTGACACTACATTACCTCAAATCCCGTCAGAATGCCTGTGAAATGGTTCAACATAATTTTCTTTTTATCAAAGAAGTTTCCTGCTGTTTAGTGGGATTCTTAGCCTTCCCTCACATTCTCAAACATTATATCACCTCATAGTCTTTCATGGTTGGAGGTCCAAGTCAAAGAGGGAACTTTACAAAGTCAATGAAAGACAGGAGACTTTGGAATGCTTTTTTATTCATAGCTGCACAGCATGCAGTGAATGTAAAGAGGGTACAATAAAATGTGTGACAATATCGATTGCTATGTCCAACTCCATCACACAACATTGAGCCCCATTCTTGGATGCTTCCAAGCACTGCTCAGCTCAAAATGACTTTGCAATATCACATATGAAAAACTGAAACAAACCAAGTACCGTCAACTCAAATGTCCAGAGATGTGTCTGGCAAAATTTTTAAGTACATGGAAAATCCAGATTAAAAGCTTTTCAAGTATCAATTACATGGAAATCAGCCTTCTTTATGGCATGTTGTCCAAATTGCTCTTCTCTTTCATTCTGGAAAGGTGGTTGGAAACAGGAAAACAGACCACTATCTAAAAGCAACACTTTCATAGAAAAAAATCATAAGCTGAACATAAATGCCCCTGATTTTTCCCTTCCACTCTCAAATCCTCAGAGAACATCAATACAAAGCTGGTGCCAGTGGGCTGTCATGCTCATTCATCTATATGCTTCACCTAACAAGAAAAAATAAGAAAAAACCTAACAAGAAATCTTCAGGTCATGAAGGAAGCTGCATATGTCTGCTATGAATCAGATCACAAAATACAATACATCATCAAAATTGAACTAAAAAAATTACAAGAGATTCAATACAATAAATACAATTAAATCCCAGCTCACTACAATGAGAACTTCATGCTGAAATCTCAAACTTCTTTCTGTAATGATACTACACTACAGTCAAAAATGAATACCACTCACTTTGAATGATTGACTTGGAAGAATGAGTGCATTATCAGCACAGAAAACATAACTGTACTAGCTAACTCCATCCTTCAAAGAAGGCTATGACAATATCAATGCAATTAAAAATTTCTCCTGGAATCCCTATCATGGTATCTATCTGAAACAGTTTAATCTGCAAGATGAGATTGCCAACTGGCATTACCTGCAAAATACAGATGAAATTGACCATCACAACAGTTGGTCCATATCTAGCCAGTGTTGCAGAACTCTTTAATTGAAGCAAAATTGACTTAACAGTGAACCCACAATCATAAAGATACTTGAGAAAGTAGTATGCCAGAGAGAAAAAAACAGTAGTCTTCTGTTTCTGTTTGCTCCATGCAAACAGATTCACAAGGAAAAGTCACTTGTATGAACATAGTCCCAGATTGTACGATTAGCATGCTGTGCAGATGTGGGGAGTTTTGATAATAGAAATACTTGCAATAATTTAACAGGAGAGGGGAAGAATGGAGGACAGCCAGAACACATACAGGTAAGGCAGATATGTTCGTATTGTCCTGACTTCCTTACATCGTGTGCAAGTACAGAGCTCTAGGAGAAAAAAAAACAACAGAAAGAGGGGGAAAGTTTTTGCATATGAGTATTGCTTATGGCTTCCTCAAATGGCACGAGAGACCAGTCTGCAGACCATCAGGTTCTATTCATAGGTACTTCTGCTTTAGAGCATACAATGTATTACAATTTTTGTTGACCATGTATGGGGAAAGGACACCCAGGGCTCAATACCTCAAAACATCAAAATTTACTATTTGGTGACAATGGAGTCAATATTTACTATATCAGTAAATTGGCCCATTTTGTATACACCTGCAATTAGCCAATTGCCTATAATAAATGATTGGTTGATTATCAGCTAGAGTACTTGATCCTACGGCAGCAATTGGTTATTGGCCAATTTCAATATTCATCCACCATTCACTTTTGACAGCTGATACTCTCAAAGCATTCTTTAAAGCAAATGTATGATGGTCCCTCAAAAGAGACATCCACACTCACAGAAGCAATGTGACTAGCCACTTTCTTGCACACACAAGGGAAATGAAGAGGATCATTTCAGGATTCAGTGGATTTTGTCCTGCGCCCAGTCAACGACCCAATCACAGACTTGATGGTGGCTCCGATGCTGCGACCAGGAGTGGTTGCATTGCTCTCAGGCCTTGGCCCATGTGAATCCATACACTTCTGATACCTCAACTGAAACATTTTCCCAAAAATTCAAAAATCACCTTCAGTATCAAGACCTGATCAAATAAAAAAACAAGCTATTCCCAGTCCAACAGTGAGCCTTCTTTTTGAATAATAGGGGCAATAAATAGGATAAAGTGAGGGAGGAAGAAAGATGTAGAAAATGAAGGCAGATGTGGGGATGGAAGAGGTTGGGACAAAGTAAGTGGTAATTCAATTTTAATATATCAGTAAATTGTTACAGAATGAAATCAATTCAAACCTGGACAGGAGTCCCATATTTCATACATGTGATTTATGGAAAAATATTGTGTTCATGTCATCAATATACCTATATATGTGTCTGATGGGTTTAGGCAGCTCCAAAGACAGATGAAAAACTAAGCAATTGAATGAGGAACCTCATTTCTTTTTCAGAGAAAGGAGGCACTCAAAAAAAAAAAACAAAGGAAAGGATAATGAGATAGGGATGTACCTTGCAGGCAGCTTCAATGGTCTTGCATAGTGCTCCAGAAGAAGGCTCACAGTAGAAAGCATGCGCAATGAATTTGTCATCAGGTGTATGCATGATGAAACCACAGTGCCTCACATCCCTCCCAATCCCGAGGAAGGACAGGTATCTCACACGGCATTCACATAAAACACTTTCATCTCTCTTCCCTCCTACATCCTGCATATGATCATTTGGCCAAATCAAACATTTTGAAATGACTCCCATAAAATACTAATACCAGCATAATGTGCACAAGTAACCAACTTGTTCCTCTAAAAAAATTCATACTGCATTGTGAAAATTGGCTTATACCAGAGCACTACAATCACATGAATTATCATGCCATAAAAATGTATGCAGGAGACATCAGTCAGGCAAACCATGTAGCCAGAAAAGAACAAGGAATAACAGGAATAATGTGAATCGGTTTCCATGAAAACATTGAATATTACACTTTTTTACACTGCAAAGTTCCACATATCAAAGTCTTTGATTATAGCCTTAATTTGATAAGGTTAAAAGAAAAATATGCTCTGTGAAGCCCTTCCTACAATTAAAATTATGCTCTTATGACTTTAATATAATATTTTTCAGATGTCTAACTGGCAAAAGGTAAGTGGGAAGTGACTAAATTTCCAACTTTTGGAAGGTACCAAAGATCACCAGAGCCAGGCTTGGGACTGTTAATCATCCTGAAGTCTCTGATACCTATGAATAAAACTGATCACGAGTGACATGACTGACTTGGATGGGAGTAACAGTGATGGTGGAGGGTGCAACAGCAACAGACACAGGGACCCACTGGTCCTTGGGTTTGGCATCTGCCAATGAATCTATGGCTCCATTCAGCATGTCCATCCCCACAGCCTTTTCCACTGGTTCAGAGCCCAAGTAGTAGGACTTCAGGACCTTCCGGGGTTCCTCCATTGGGGTTGGGAAACTTTGCACTAAAAAAAAAATGCAACAATTGCGACTCAAAAAAAGAACCACACACTTGCCGTCCTTCCCATGGTATGACTAAGATTCCCTTGGTTTCTTTCAGCAGGGAACAAATTCATGCTTCATTACACTTTTGTTATTCATTGAAACAAGACATATCATCCTAAGAAATGATGCTGCCTTGCATCATGAATGGCAGCATGCAAGCAAATACAAATGCAAAATAAATTCTCATTAGAAATTCTTACTAGGCCTAATAACTATGCTACACACATAATTTGTGATACAATAGCAGAATTTTGCACAAATATTAGCATTCACAGACAAGTACAATCAAGAGATTAACTGATACTAATAATGGAATGATTTTAGACCCATGTCCAAATTAATTGACAAATTATAGAACTACCTACATGTGAAATACCGTGTCATAGCAAAGTATTTTTATTACTAACAGATCTGCATTCATTGCTTCTCAGCATATTTGAATAAATCTACCAGTTCATTCTCCCCTTCCTCATAAATGTGACCTCTCTCCCTCTTAAAAAAAAAAAAAAAAGACAACTGGGGGCCATTTCCTGGGGTGAAGACAAATCCTAAAGTAAGAAGGTTGCAACCAGAAATCATGAGATATAAGAATTTATAGACCAATTCTCATCATTTGCATTTCAATGTCATCACATGATTAAGTATCACCCAGTTTCTATATAGAAAGGTTTAGCGAAAAGGACAAATAAGCCATACATGTATTAAGAATTTTGCAAAGGTACACCCCTGATAACTATAATTAATCCTTTATATTTCATTGGGAAAATAATTTCCCAACTCTCTACCTTGCTTCATCTGAGTCAGACAGGGGTATAAGTATTTCCTGCCAGAGTGAAAGAGTCGTACATATGCCCTTGAACAGATTTCAGAGCCACGGTGCAGAAATTGAGAATGTATGCATTGTATGAAGTATAGCATGTACTGAGTCTGCCAATAAAATATGAATTATTTCATGAACTCCCAGTCTTTTGTCTTATAACGGGCTAAAAAATTGAAATTATGCTTTCTGAAGAGAACCACATGCCAAGTTTCTTCAGTTTCATGTTTTTTCCTTTATGGTTGAATACAAATAAAGAGGGCTGCGCATGACAAAGAAAGATCAGATAAAAGCATTGAAGTTGGATAGTTTGTTGCACATTGACAGAACTGGAAGGGCAATTGAAAGAAGATAAGACAAGGTCTTACTGATGAGAAGTTTGGAGGAAGGAGATGAGGAATTTGCTCTGTCAACTGGAAGATGATTTGGTCTCCTTGGCCCCACACTCCCACTCAGCCCTTAACAAGAGAGGACATTACTTAATATCAGAGGATAATACTCCTAACAATAGTGTGGGAGGTTTCCTCCCATTGTATAATAGTTGACTTTAACACCTTGACCACCACGAGACACACTGGAGTGCCTCACAGAATGGGAAAATCAATATGCCAGCTTTGCTGTGGCAGTCAACATGTTAAACATGGGTATTGTTCTTCACAGCAGGAACTCCACTTTGGAGCAAAGATCTGGTGCCATCTTGAGCAGAAATTAAGTCACATGAGGTTATTCTATCAAAATTCTAAGGTAAAAACCTACAGAAAGGGTGCTGAATGTACACTGTCCTGTGTAGCTGAATGACACCCACCCTTATAACAGTGCTGGTCCTCCCTACAACCCTACTCCATTCCCTGGCCCTTCCCTAAAAAAAGGGACTGTCTTTGGCCTCCAGACACATGTTCATTTTTCCTGGCTCATCTCTGGACAAGGAGATCTCAACTATATCTTTTGCTGGCAAGGAACTTGGCTAGTCTGAAACCCCATCTACTCTTACATGCCTACCCTTACCTCCTGTCAATATGTATATATATGGGTAAACATGAACATGAATATATACCTACCAACTCAAGGGTATGGTCACAATCAAATAAAGGTAAGGGTGCCCTTTGGAGGATGTAGGTTAGCACATGTGTATTTATGTCAAGAGAAGATAGGATTTTACTTTAGAGCTATGCAGACTTTCTGACTTGTTCCAACTTCTCTTTGAGGCTGAAATAATCCTCTGGGTTAGCACATACTTCCACTTTAACCCTTGGCAGTGCCCAAGATCAACCTGCCTCCTTTAACCCTTCAAGTGCTTCAACCTGACCTCCTAAGTGACGATCATACAGTGTACATGAAAACTGCTTGAAGGGTTAACCTAATATGACTGTGATAAGCTGCAAAGGACTTGGAATGACCACATAAAATGATGTTGGCTCAGAGAAAGTAAGACAAGTGATCTTGAGAAGAAATAAAATATTTCATCACAACATTGTAATAAATCTAAAATGCATGCAACTGTTGCATATCCTTTTACATTTTTGGAAAAATTGCATCTTCTTCATAGTTTTAATTATGATACCAACTTACCTACAGGGTGAATAAAAGGTTCTTTCTTTTATTTCTTCCATTCCTTAACAGATTGAAATCTCCATATTTTCACCAAAGCCATTCCTAATTCTGTCACATCACTCATCCTCTTTATTTGGTAGAAGTCATGACTTGGAGCCAATCACCAATACTCTTGTTTGTAGTGTACTACATTGCTGCCTGACTGGCGAGTCTAATGGCATGGCTTTTCCCCCTACTTCATGTATTAATCCACACTAGCTCTCCTATTTTGGTAGTTCCCATCTTCCACCTATCATGTGTATGCTAAAAATTTATAGAAGACACACCCAAACTAGTTGAGCCAAGAAAGGGAAGCCAGACTAGACTTTAGTCTGCTTTCTGTCACCAATCTGGCTTCAATCCATGAAGCATACATTTTTCAGGTCCTCCCTTCTGCTTGCATCCTATTCAATTCAAAAGAGGGTTGAAGATGAGGGAAAGAGATAGAAGGTTGATACAACTTAGACCTACCTCCACCATGATCGGAGGGCCTTCCAAGGCCATGATGCAAGCTGCGTTCAATCATAATCCTCTTGCAGATATCTCTGAGGGTGTTGGCAATCACTCGAGCAGGTGTGTCACAGCGAAACACGTGGCACATGTGCTTCCGTGTTACCTTGTCACGTGCCACATATGCAAAGTCCCTGTGATAATAATAAATGTGATAGACTTGGGAGTTGAACTCAGAAGGGGAACAAAGGAACAAAAAATGTCACAGGAATCATTGACAGCATAACGGAACTAATCAATTTTCATTTCTGAGAGTCTCTTCAACTGAAAAGCATAGTCCCAGTCTTCCACTGTTAGCAACTTGCTAGAAAATACATAGATATAAATGAGGTTCAAATAAAGCACTAGCTAAACATAGCCATAGGTTGATATGGTATGGAGAACTAAAGGAGACTAGTGCATTCATGTGAAGTAAGAATGACAGTGCAAAAGCATTGAGAAGCATGCAGCATGAGAGAAATGACAAATTGACAAAACAATTTGTTCCATTGTAAAATCAATAGATGTTTTTTAACATTTAAAAATAACTTTTTTTAAATTTATATTTAATATATTCTAAGGATTCAGTGACTGGATGCATACAGAACACACTCACTACTTTTCTAAAAAACAAAAAACAAAGGAACCAACACCAGAGTAATAGGAAATGTTTGTTTTTTTCAACTGCAGTCACTCCAGAAGGAAAATCCACTAATACAAGTTTCACCTAGCCTGTTTTTTAGGTTACTTTGTGCCACAATAATTCAGGGTGAAATGATGATAATGCAAATGTGGATTAGCAGTCAGGATTCAGGATCTGTGAGTTGTCCATAGTTGAAAATGGGAGGGCCATAGCTCTTTGCCATCTATTAAGACATTGTACATGGTTGTAGATGGCACTCATAGAATCTACTGGTTCATTTTTAGTGGGATGGCTTTTCACTTGTATTGGTCATGATGCAAGCTAGGGATGCAGAAAGTGATCAATCTGGTGCAAGCCTATATCAATACAGACAGAAAGGATCTGAACCAAAAACAGCTAGTGGAAGTCTCCTCTGAGAGGCCACCCTTCTGGCACAACCAGATAAGAGTCCCTCTGTGGTAATCTATTAATTTATTTATATCCTTTCAGCAAGACTCAACTTTCCTTTTGAATTGTCCTTCTGATAGTCTTACAACACAAAAGAAAAATGAAAAATATTCCCATGCCATTTTAAATATGTATTCAAGCACTGCAAACTATTCCTTCCAATTCAGGTCTATAGTTTTTATTATGAGTGTTAAGGGTATATGAAAAAGAATGAAAAATATAGTGCAAGGAAGTGCATGAGAAGCCTTTTTTCCTCCTGGACAAAAGCAAAATGAAACTGAAATTATACAGACCTGTCCCTGGAAGCAGCAAAAAGGAAAGAATCAAGAAGCAGGGATGACACCCATGTCACAGGAGTACAAAAATGAGCCTAACAATGAGATTAAGAGGATGGACTTATTTGACTATCAGTGAAACTGACCTGCCATTGTCCCTGCCAACTCCCCACACTCTGATGGTATGAATTGGCTGAGCATTCACCACCAGAAGAGAATCAGGGTCAATCAGTTTCAGGGAAGTGTCATCCAGATCCAAGTATAAGTCCTTTCCCTACACAAGTCATAAGGAAGCATAAAAAAAAATTCCGCCCATTCTGGGAAGGTTAACTTTCTTTTACCTTCATCTAGGCCTATGGCCTATATGAACATAAAGGAAAGTTCCATTATCTGTAAGAGGGTGATTATGGTATACTGCTCTTCAAATAAAATAAATTTATACTGTTCTAGTCTTCATACCCATAACTAATTCCCCCCCCCCCCCAACTCACAATCACCAAGATCACACAGCCATGAGGGCTAGTGAAAAACCAAACCATCCTTAGTTAGGGGTCTCACAGTGCCTCACAGGAATATTAGTAAAGTGCTTAGAGCATCTATTGACACCCTGTCTCCAGGCAATGCATTTTCGCCCAATGTCTGTCCCAATAGGGCAAAAATGGAAGGATATTCTCAGGATCCAAGTCCCTTTCCCTTGATGTTATACTTGAGTTAAATGTAGCTGCAAATTCCAAAATGATGGGAGTTGCTCTCAAAAATGTCCACAAAATTTAAGCAGACACAAAAGTCAACTGTTCAATGATGATTTCATGTCAATCAATACATTTTTCAGAACAAGATATTGAAATTAGTTTCACGCTGATGAAAAAAACTTTTACAAAACCTCAAAAAGAGACACATGGATTCTGTCTAATAGGTAGACTTGGTACTGAGTCATAAAGGTGATATTTTCACTAAATATAGTTTTTATCAGCTTAGGTGGCATTCCAGGACAGTGGGTGAAATGTGACTAAGAATTGCAAATATCTATTTGGCCAATCATGACAATACATGGTAAGGGTGAAGATTCATGACCCACAGACTTACATCGCCCCACTTCCCAACGGAATCCAGGATGTCGTTCCTGCCGAGGGAGAGATCAACTATGCACTTGTTGACAGCCTTGGAGCTGCGCTCAGGAGTGAGGTCCTCTTCAGAGATCTCCACCCAGCCAAGAGACCGGACAGAAAATCGAACCAGATTCTTCCCCTTCCCTTCTCCATTATTGGAGTAATTATGACCATCCTCTGGTTCCAGTCGAACTGGGTAACTTCTTCTCCTATCCCAAGAGATGGCAAGTTGAATGGGACTTTAACATCACAATCAATCCAGGGAAATAGTTCAAGAATGAACTTGAGGTTTTTAGGAGTAAAATTTCCAAATGTATGATTAGCAGCATCAGCATTAAGGCCAATGAAAAATTACCAACCCTTCCCTTCCAATTACCCCTTCAGTATTGTTCCAGAAATGTGTGTCACCAATTGGATGCAAAAACGGACATGGTACATATGACACACAACATTTCCCTCATGACTTGCAACAAGAAAAAATGCTATTCATTACTAATAAATTTAGAGAGATATAAGACAGCCAGACAGATCAACCTAATTTTATGAGGTAAAAGCCCAGACATGTATGAAAAGGTCAAGAAGACAACAAAACAAACAGAAGTAAATAAAAGAATGTTTTGACCTACTGAACCCAAGAAGGCCCAGTATAGCAAATACAGATTGTTTCCTACTCTGTTCTCTCCCATTCACATGCACATTTTAAATATATCAAGTGAGAGATGCTTCCTGTTAGACATCAAGGCACCACACTAGAAAGATTTTCTACAGGAGAGGAACAAATAATCTCACTTGTATGCAGCATCAACCTTGTGATCCCTGGAATCAATGTCTGCAAGCATATCACTTGTGAGACTTCTAGGTACTGTGACAGCCTTCAGGGCTTCTTCCAAGTTCTATATTCAAAAAATCACACTCACCCATTAATGTTCAACTAAAAATAGGTCATGATTGACAAGTTATAATAACTATAAGGTCAATTAATGTCAACTCTTGATGTCCAGTTAAATGGGCATTCAGAATACCTGTCTACAAACATCTTGAGCCAATGTGTCCAGCAACTCCTCACTGTAATAACTTTTCTATCCTTCAGAAAGTAACTTTCGCTGATTACAGATTGATCAAAGATTATATTAACCCAACATTTCAAGTGCATCAGAACCAATGCACACATCATGTGGAACTTATCATAGGCCAAATACCCAAAGGTTCAAGGAACATGGAGTAATGCAGCATAGGGATCTGGATAGAATAGAAACTCAACATACAGCCAATGAGTGTCGATATGAGCTTGATTCAAAAGACTCCTGACTTGGAAGATCCCTCTGAATGGTCCCACTTTTGACATGCCAATAATATGGCCCATTCTCATCTGAGAAATGTAAAGCAAAAAATTATTTAATGCAGATTTTTTTTTACTGCAATGTCCATCAAAATTAGCTTCATTATATCACTCTACCTTCGTGCCGTTCCCAGCCAGGAGGAAGCGAAGAATCAGCAAAAAAGGTGGACTTTTCTCCCGATCTCCTCTTCACTGGCACAGCATACAGGTCATTATTCACCTTTCCTGGGATATGAGGGATCCCCGGAGCATCAGTTGTATCTTTGGCAAGCTTCCCATGCAACCTGAGATGGAATGGAACCACAAAAATACAAGATCAATATAGAGCCACATTACGCCTTAATGACTCTCAAACGCCGCAGGACTCAGTCCCCTAGAACAGAGGGATGAAAAGAATCTCAATTGAAAATCTAAGAGAACTGACTCATGAATGGAGTTATGATCCACTTCCGAGTCAGAGCCATCAGGGGAGTCTTTCCCGGAATCGGCATCTTCATTACTACTCATGTCGCTGGAGGACAATGAGGAGGAGTGGCACCTGCAAAAAATACATATAAATATATATATAAATATATATATAAATATAAATATAAATATAAATATATATATATATATTATATATATATATATATATATATATATATATATATTTATATACAAAATTAAATAAACAGGGCAGATCCTGAATCCAATATGCAAATATAAATCTCATACTGAATACAATTATATGCAGACTGTATTGGTTATAGACCCTACAGAACTTGGTTTGGAGGTGCAGCGTGTTCACTGCCATCAGATAAAAAAAAATTAACTTGCAATGTCTCCAGAATGAAAACCTCAGCAGTGTAGTGAAAGAAGTTCGCACATAGCCAATCTTGAAAATCATCATGAGATAGCATTTTTAAAAAAGATGACTTGACAATGCTGCTTTTCATGATCGATGTAACCCATCTCAACCTGAGGGTCCTACACGAACATTTCGTCGTTAAGCGAGACAACCAGTAAATTGGGATTTGTAACCATGAAATTAACCATGATATGTTTTGGGAGTAAAAGTGCAACCTATCGAATTTCCCGGTTACCAGCCAGCAATCACTTCCCTACACAGCCCACCATCCTGGGACAGTTACCTCAATTCATACTTTAATGAAGGGGGGAAGGGGGTGAGGGAAGTCGGAGCCTGTCCGGGTATCTGTAACCACCAATTCCACAGATAACGCTGGAATGGGGAAGGAATATCACGCCAAGACTTGGAGGGTATTCTGTAGTGAATGACAACAGATGCTTACTGTCATGCTCTCCTCTTCAGACTTCTCCCGAGCATGCCCACTGCGCAACGGGGTCACGAATGTTCTTGAAAGGGATTTTAAAATGACATGCCTCGGAATCCTGTTTTACTCACTGCCGATTTATTTGCTAGTTTTCTGGATTAAAGTTGGAGTTCAATATCCGGAACGAGAGAACGGACTTTGTAATTATGGCTTCCAGTTCCTCTAATGCAGGGGTCGGGAACCTATGGCTCACGAGCCAAAAATTTTGCTTCATGAGTCATGGAAATAAATAATGGTTGTTCTTCATTTTTCTCATGTATCAATTATGCACATGTCTGTCGCCAACTTGGCGCGGGTCTGAAAGGGTTAAGATAAGCAAGTACTTCGCCATTGTCTCCTCTTTCCGATCAATCTGCACGTCAAGATATACTTTCCCTTGTGGCAGCACTCAACCCTGCATTATGAAGAAGCAAGGAAAATTGTGTTCAACTACTTTTCGTTATGGGAATCAACTACCCCACAAAACGCCCAAATATTACGAAAATTTCATTTCACATGAAAATGGTTTTTAAAAAAAGTCATGTATTCGAATGCATGGGGGATTCAGCGAAACGAAAATTTTTTTTTTAGCGAAACAGAAAATTAGCAAATGAAACAAATGACAATTTTCCATTTTCGGTTCATTTTATGTTCAGCTAATATTCACATTTCATAGACTTACGTTACAAAACCCGTCACCAGTGCTACTTTCAGTTAGAAAACAATATTGAGGCCGGCATACACTGCTTGCTGTTCCAACTTTCGAATAAAGAAAGATTCATCTGAAAAAAATAATATAGATCTTTGATGATAGGTTGAGAACCACAACTACTCAAATTGGCCTTGACGACTAACGTTCTCTTCTCGCACGTGCTCTCACCAAACTCTCATTCGTATTGGGATTTTGGATTCTACCTAATTTTTTTCGCTGAGAGGCCAACACTTTGCCAGCTGGTATGAACGAACGATGAATATCACATTTTATACTTCAACTCTTAAGCACGTTCAGATGAAAAGCTTTTAGGTTACTGGATGGTTTGTCACGCCACACACCTTCATGCCACAAAATGAAAGAGAGATCAAAACTCCCAAATGCAAATAAAAGTAGCTAGGAAACGAAGCGTCTAGGTGCAATATCCGTTGTCACCATGCCTGTAACTTCGAAAATGAAATGGGTTCCGCCTTCTGTATCTGTATGTGGGGAACAAACATGGACCATGGATAACCAATAAATATTCATGAGCTCAGAGATAACTTTTCTCGATTATTCTTCTGCCAAAAGAGGCGACGGCGAGGATGGGATGACGGCAGACTCCTCGTTCGAAGAAGAAAACAGGAAAGGTTATTGCTAGGAGACGAGATAGGGAAGCAAGAAAACGTCGAGAACCGGGGAGGGCTTGGGCCATTCTAATGCAACATCCGGATTCCATCATACCAGTCTGCAACGCTTAAACCTCTTATTATGGCAAGCAGAGAGCCAGGTATAGCCCGAAATTCCAATGCGAATGCGGGGGGTAAGTGCATGACTGGACCGAACAGGCAACGCCCATGGCCATGATTGACCTCAAGGCCATGAGAAAAGAGTCCCCTTGTGAGCAGAACCTCTTCAGAGGGGAAAAAGTGACACCTGCCTCATTCAAAGTCGAGCTGGGAGGTGCTATATCTTCTGTCTGGGACAAGAATCATTCTAGTGCTTGTCCTCGTTCTATTGCGAGTCTAACGAGGGGTGGATGATTCATCCAAGTCTCACCCACACTTGCCCCGGGGGTCTCTCATCCACAAGCCAGTAGCATATGGCAAGAAACTTCACGACGCCCTCATCGAAAAATTCCAAAACGTCTCATTTCGACTAGTCTACAGAAGGAACAGCTTCACATTGAAAGTTTTCATCGGTAATATTCTTTTTTTTTCGAACTAATAGTGGAGAGGACCAGGAGAGCGAAAGATGAGGGGGGCGGGGGAGCGCAGGAATCAAATGGAGAAAGTGCAAGTGCATGAAGGAAGAGGGTGAGAAAATCCCCATGCTTCACAGAGAAGCGTGCAAATCTAAATGGCAGAAGGAAAACTCCATTCTTTCGAAGATCCAGCGGACAGGAGACAATATATGAACCGGGATGAAGCTCACAAGAGAGGAGCAGCGAGGCACGTGGACTGGGACTTCAAGCGCAACAGCACATGCTGCACAAGGCACGGCACCGCACTGACTGCCCGGACGCTCTATGGTGACGACAGGAGGAGGAGGAGGAGGAGGAGAATGGAGAGGGGAAAGGAAGAAGGTAATGAGAAACGAGAGGAGAAAAACGTGCACGCCCGGAACACACGACACCCCTCAACTTGCTACTCTCTCCTTTTCTTTTCCTGACTGGAATCTCATATTACGACGGACATTCTCTTTCCATCTCGCGCGTGGCCTCGAAACCCCAATTGCTTACAGGTGAAGGAATCCAATAGGTTCGTGCTCGCACCTCATTCCTTTCGATCAAGAACTTGATTGAGACCAGGCCGTAAGCATGAATGAATTTCAATACGCAACTACGCGTCATGAGACTAAAGGAACGAAAGACGGTAACTTCGGCTTACGGACACCCGATCCAGTCGGCACCTGCAATAATCTGGTACCGATGCTTCTATTTTCTAGAGAAAAAAAAAAACCTTTCCGGTTGTCCCATCTCGAATCGCCAACTCAGTCCGTTTGACCGAGAGACTTTCTGCCTCCTAAATGTGGATCTTCCGGTCAGACTGGAGCAGTTGGGAACCCTAAATCCATCTCTGACGATCCAAACTCCGGATTTCAGCGGCATCATAACGAAGAAATCAAGGGTTGATGTGGACACTGTCCCTGTATTCAGTGCTATAAATTACTCGCGAGCCAAAGTAACACGAATCAACTCTAATTGATACATCCCACATCTTGAAATAGTTTTCTACATCGGTCTAATTTGAATCCCGAGTATTTACCTATGATTCCGAAGTTCAAGTCAAATAAAATCGCGAAATGACAAGTTTCCTTCTGTTTAGATATATTTCAACATCCAGAAACAGCACTTTATCGGTCACAGACACCGAGTCTTCAGAATACAGAATCACTGTACGTATCAGGTGACGTGTCCTGCATTTCCCGGAAATGGGAAATGCGAAGTCCCGCCCTCGCCCTCCCCCAGCCATGTGCACCTTACGCGCATATCAAAACGGCTATACAAGTTATTTCGCTCCTCTCACATCTCCCTTTCCAAGATTACAACAGCAGGGGACGTCAAACCTCGACATCCTCTCGCACATGGTGGAATGAATGCTCACTACGTTGCATTACACCCCCGCACATGCTGTTTTCATCATCCTCCCTCTTCCACTTGACCGCGGTCATCAGTGAACAAGCATTGTCCAGTCAGATTCCGGAGAAAAAAAAAAAAGCTAAGGCACCATGGCATGTGAGTCGCGCTCTAGCGTGTTCAAGTGTGTGTGTGTGTGTATGTGGAGGGGGAGAGGAAGGAGTGAATGCATAATGGCATTGATTTTCTTCATGGGAATTGGATTCACAGCAGGATAAGAGTTACCCCTTCTTTGCTATTGTGTTAGACCTTACGTCATCTTAGGCAGGTGAAAAATGAGGCGAATCAATAGAATGTCCATGAATAAATAGACTTTGGAAGCGGGCCATGGAGGTAGGGGCGCTCCAGTTCATTTAAAAATGTAGAATGATAAGTAGGCCGAGGATGCCGTGTTTGACAGGTTTTTTTTTAAACTTTATTTCGGCCGACTTCCCACCTCTTTGAGAAGTATTTTTTTATTTTTCAAGCTCGTCCTTCCTGTCTCTTGAAACTAGATTTGTCTACTGCTGGGCTGCTTACAAGTGCTTTGTGCATAAAATCATATCCTCTCAAGGAAATTTTAGAAGCATTTTTCACAACCTACTGCAATTTAACAGATGAGATGATGGAGTATTAAATTTCAATCTAAACATACAGAGCAATTATAAAGCACCTGTGAAGCACCAAGCCTGTCATATTGCCTGTGTTGAACTCATATGAGTAATGACTGCACAAGAGCTACTTGCTACTTATAGTTCAGCATCATAATATAATCTTCAATAACTGATCATAATAGATTTATGGCACCATTTTATATGCCCAGAATACACAGCTGGTGCAGCTGTGTATACTAATTTGGGCTGTACCGGTGGCAACATTTGGCCGGTGGGCCGATTTCTTCTTCATAACCATCGGTCGGTGCCGGTGCTAATTGTGGCCTGTAGAAGAAATCGTTAATAAATTTCAATAGGCCTAATTGGAAACCATGTGACCTCACTTGCCAGTAGGCCTCCTTGAAACGATGGAGATCATTTTTGGTCCTGTCCAGCCTGTCCGTCTCTCATTGCTTCGTGGCTAGCATGCTACCCATTGCTGCAGTTGAGAGCAATTAGTGACACCTCCCTTGCAAAAGCATTAAGTAAATGGAGATGCAATGATTTCCCGTTCTTTACCGCTACTTTCCTCCGCCGGTTCCTATAATACGGCTGTAACATAATCCGATCAATATTTTTGCCTGAGAGAGGCTGGCAGGAGTGGCCGAAGTGAGACAGGAAGGCCGGCGCCGAGGCGTGTTCACACTCACCTAATTTTTTTTTTCACTTTACCCGTCCTTTGGGCATCGATACCGGCACCGTTGCCATAGGCCGATAGTGCAACACCGGCGGCCGATACCGGTGTTAGCCGATGCATTGGTACAACCCAAATACTAATGATATCACATCAGCAGTGATTAATTCTTGCAACCAATGTTCTCCCCTAAGTTTTGATAATATTCCCCAAGTTTCACTGGGCTGCGGTAGGGGAGAGTGGGGCACCATGGGTCAAGCAGTTTATAGCTCTCCCAACTCTGTTTCTCTTCATGTCGTATGCTACATATCTTCCAGTTGAGGTGCCAGGAAAGTGTAGTTGAAAAAGGAGTAGTCCCCACTCTAACTGCAAATTGTGTGGACGCTTTTCTGTAGAATACACTTTTTCGTTTTTGCTGGCAGTGACGTCTGGAATTTTTGCTAATTGTTTCTTTTGATGAACAGTCTTGATTCTCTGGAATTGGATTCGGGAGATCAGTAGTTCAATGCCTGCACATAGGAGCTACAATCTCAACTTACTCTGCACAGTGAGCTGTGCAGTAGGCAATAATAGGGTAGGGCAGGAAGTAATCAATCAAGACGTCTCCTCACAGCGTTTTTCAGGAAAGTACAAGATGTTTCACTGATATGAACCCCAAATCTTCGAAGAATCAATCTCGCAATTCCACAGATTTACTCTTTCCTACAGCCAAGTAATTCTCATGTGCTACTTTGTTCGTAATACTAGAAGTAGCCATTTATGAAACACATGAGAAAATCTCTTGTCGTTCATGTTGCTACAACTTGCTGAAAATAAACTTCCCATGGTTTTATTCCTAATACAACTACCAACTCCCAGGAAGAAGCAGAATAGTGCCGTCATATGCCAAAAATAGATACAGCCCTGTAAAGTTAGTAGCGTGCGAATTTTTCAGCCATTCCTGGAATTATCCCTCTGTGACTTACAGGGGACGAGATCTCTAGCTGGAAAAGATTCCTAATTTCTGCTGGGACATTGTCTCACTCGGGGATATCATGATTAACGATGTCCTTCTTGGCCCACCATTAAAAAAAAAATCGATCAAGTTTTTGACAATATTTAAGAAATTTTCAATATTTTCACAATGACAGTATCAGAATCGTAATTTTTTTGCACAATAAACAAATATTGCTAAATCTCCATTAAGCTGGGTTCCTATGTTTGTGGGAAAATGTTTGGAACAAATCTGAGAGTTACTGGATGTTTTTGCCTATTATTGCTTGCTAACCCACTGAGCTCTGGTTGAAATATTGATTTCATTTCAATGGCTCCTGTTGGGGCACAATGGGTCATAACTCAGTGTGCTAAATGTTTCCTGATAGTTGTCAATACAGATCAGGATTTCCTTTGTAGTCTTTTTTGATCAAATAAATCGCAAATAATTCTGCATGAGAATTACTTGGAAGACTCTGAAGGGTTCAACACCAGCAGATGTGATATTCTTGGACATGAAATGAATCATATATTATTTTCAGATTAAAGGTTCCTAATTTTTCTAGATAACTTTGGTGAACATCAGTACTCAAGAGCTTCTCCTCCTGTGGGGCAAAGACTTCTTTGTGTGATGACTTTGGGTCAACTGAAGTTCATTTTAGTGATGATTATGGGGATGACCCATCATACCCTGGACATAGACCCATGGTGCCCCATTTTAAATATGACTATCGCACAACACTTGTAGGTTGACAAATTTTAACACAGGATTGTGCAGGTGCTTTAAGCATTTACACACAGGGCCTTCCATTGCTTCTGAAAAATAAATATGCTTAAGTTGCAGGCCCACAAAAAAAGTGACCCATGGTGCCCCATCCTCCCCTATGTAGTTTTTATGATAGACTAGGGAGACCAGATTTTTTCAGAAAAAAGCAGGACATTTTCAAGAAAATGCTGGAATGTTAGTCCTTGCAATGGGACTGCCCCAATAAAATTGGAACATCTGGTCACCCTATGGTAGACTACTACACACCCTTCAATTTACTTTATAATCACCCTGTACTTGCAAGCAATCACGTCTTTTTAATTGCCACAAACTTCTTAGCTTCAGTGACATTCCACTTCAATTGAGTTGGACCTTTAGATGCCTCAACTTCAACCTCTTCCTGAAGACATACCAGACACTTCTACTTCATTGCAATTCATCAATCAGAACCAAGATTTACCTGTTCTCTTGATGGGAGTCAGACTGAAAAGGACCAAGATCAACATCCACCCCCATGGATGAAGGCTGAAGGTGGGCATATGTTCCCCTTCCATGTCGCTTCGTTTTGCTCCTGCCATCTGCTGACTTTGACTTCCCACCAAGTTCTTCATATAGGCTCTCAACATCTGCCTCTAGGGCAGAAAGGTCCAGGTCTTCCAGATCAAGATTATTGGAGTTGAGTGCATCAGCCAATCTTTCTGGATCCAGGTGATAATTGGGATTTTCAAAACTAAGCTTTAGGCTCCCTCCATCATTTTCTTGTTCATCTCCTCCCAACATTTCCTTGTCTTGAGCTATGATGGAAAGAGTGGCCAATCAGAAATTATGAAATACAATTGACTTCACAGTGAGTTTCTCCACTTCATGTTAGAAAAAAATTTATGAAAAAAATGAAGACTGCAACTAGCCCGAGGGGTTAATTCAAGATTATTCCAATCATTCCAATGTTGATTAATTACATCTTGCAATGACTTGGTTTCATAGGTGCACCAAGTTTCGTGAGAGGGTGCAAAGCATGAAATGTTTTGATACTCTCTTATCTCCCCCTCTCCTGCTTGTCAGTCTGATCCAGTTAAAGCCTTGGTGGGAGGGGGTTTGCTAGGCAGTGAACCCACATGAAAATTCCATATATGACAGGGTGTATGATTCTATATGGTCATGCATCATCATATATTTGCCATATACCAGCATATATGTATTTATATATTAACAATTGTATGGTGTATAATATATTTTACTTGCATTGCAATATTAAGTGTGATGGGCAAATGGCATCATGGCTGATCATATGATGAACATCCATAGACAAGACTTATGGTTGTAAGTAAAACATGGTATGAGGTCAGTGGTGCATTTTGGCTGAAGAGTCAGGGGGGACAGGACAGTAGAGTGGGGGCACCAAGCCCTATCCCAGGGATGCCAGGGGGGGAGCAGCCGGCCCCCCATGCCCCCTCCCTGTAAAATACACCACTGCATGAGGTTGTGACACATGAGGGCAATTGACCTTCAGATGCCTCTGTAACTAATTTTTAATGCACCCATTAAATTTTACATGAAATATTAGCTATGCATAACCTTTAAAGTAATTTGCCAAAAGTTTGATTTTGAATCCCCCCAGCTGAATATCCTAGTTGGAAACAGCTATAATTTCCAGCTGGACCCCAGTTGGAAATTCAGACCCATTTCTTGCCCATACTTTCCAGCTGGGTAGCAGCTGGAAAGTAAAGTCAGATCCAGATTGTTCTTAATTGCAATACATTGGTGGAATGAGAATGTTTTTGTTGGCTATTCTTGCTGGAGGTCCATCTATAGAAGCAGCTGAATTTCAACTGTAAATTCAGCTCTATTCCAACTGAAGGGTCCTCTGAATTTCCAGAGGGTAACTTTCCAGCTGTAAACAACCTGTAATTACCATTTCTCATCTCTTTGCCGGCTGGAAATGGTCAGAATATACAGCTTCTGTCCGCCTGGAAAATACCAGTCAGGGTTTCAAACTGGACCCTACCCTCTCTAGGTAGCATAAGTATATTGTGGATGAAAAAAGTGCAGGAAGAGGGGGGGGGGGGGGGGCACAAGAACTCTGGGACACTGTTATCATGCATTTCATGAATCTTTTTCTTCATATTAATGCGTTTTTTGTTAATTGGGGGGGCACATGTCGTGCCATGCCTTCATGCACAATTCGTTCATTGGATTATTTCAGGAAGAAATAGGTTTTTTTTCCCATCTATCTTGTGAGTTGTCAGTCAAGATGAAGAAGACACTCCTACATGAAAAAGCCAAGTTTTGTCATGAAATAGCATTACTGATGAAAATACTTTTGAAGGTTAAAGTCTATAATATTGAAACTTTCACCTTCATTAAGAAAGGTGCATATATTGAACACCATGAAACATGAGTATTTGGAGTAATTGACTATGGTCTATAAACAATTAAAAATGAGTTGATTGGAAGTAAGGTATGGTTACTTGCATATGAATGATACAGTATTTGATGGATTATGGATCCTTTTTGGATACAGGCATGTTTCAGGTTTCTCACCATACATAGATATGACATGGCATATATGGACAGTATATGGTGCATTTATATGAACCAATATATGAAAATGTATGGGGTCATATATTTTCCTTATATATATGATTTTATGTGACTTGTGTCAAACCCCAAACATGTTTCATATACAGGGTGCATGAGTAGAATTGGCGCGAGTTTAAACAGGTAAAATCCAGATAATACAAGATTTTCTTGACCCATGTTATTGATTCAAGATTCTCAGTTATCAGTAAGACTTCAAAGAATGCAGACCCCAAACAGATTGGATGATTATGAGTGGCCTGAGGAGTGGAGAAGGAAGGTGATAGTCTACTCCATCTGCGCCGGGATGACCAATGACATCGTAGACAAGTTGAAGTTGCCATTGAGGACAATCCAGAGAATTAGGAAGCAGTTGGTGGATTCAGACTTTGATGTGGAGGCCATGGCTGCCAGAAAGACACAAGATCGAGCTGAACAGAGGGTGAGGAGTGGCGATTTCATTTCAAATGTGCAGCAACTCATTGACAACGACCCCTCCATCTCAATCCGTGAGATTTCTCGACGTCTGGGCCATTCTGAGAGCATGTGAGACTTTGTTTGAATGAAGATCTTCGCTATAAGTCCTACAAGATGCAGAGTGGACAGCTCCTTACTGAAATGACAAAAACTAAATGTCTCGTGAAGAGCAAGAAGCTTTTGCACAAAACCAAGCATCCCCAGGAGCCAAACACGTTGTGGTTTTTTTCTGACGAGAAAAACTTTTGCCAGGATCAGGCACACAACAAACAGAACAACAGATGGTTGGCTGTGAGTCCTAAAGATGTGCCCAGAGTCATGAAAACAAAGTTTCCTGTTCACATCATGGTCTTCGGTGTCGTCAGCAGTGACGGGCGGGCATGTTATGCCCCCACACATCTTTGAAGGCCTGAGAGTGAACCAGAATGCGTACCAAGACGTTCTGGCGACCGTAGTCAAGCCTTGGATTGAAGAAGTTGCTGCAGGAAGACCATACGTGTTCCAGCAAGATTCTGCACCAGCACACACGGCCAGGAAAACTCAGAAGTGGCTCGAGGATAACTTTTTTGACCATGTTACCCCTGATATGTGGCCTCCAAACTCACCTGACTGCAATCCTCTTGACTATTATGCGTGGGGCGCGGTTGAAAGGATCACTAATAAGACTGCCTGTAACAATAAAGCTGAGCCGAGGGAGAGAATCTGCCAGGCATTTCAAGATTTGTCTCCTGAGATTGTAAAACGCGCCTGTTCTCGCTTCCGAGGTTGTCTGGAGGCTGTGATTGATGCTGAAGGTGGCTTTATCGAATAAGTTCCATCTATAAAGCACTACCTTGCTCTTGTTTCTGGAATTTTCAATAAATGTTTAAAATTAGAAATTTTTTAGATGTTTTTCCTTAATGTATTTTCCACGCCAATTCTACTCACGCACCCTGTATGTTCATATATGAATTGCACTATAGAGTCATATATTCCCCATATATGTAGGACTGCTTTAATATATGGTCTTATATGAAAATTTCACATGGGAAGGAATGTTTTCAGGATCTGTCTAATTTTTTTTATAAGAGGCAAAACCAACTGTTTACTTGCCATGTTTGTGGTGGGGTAGTCACCTCCCCATCCTCCCTGTTGGTACACTTATGCCTGGCTTAAAAGTTGTACAGTGCAGACACAAGACTAAAACCACTCCATAAAAGGAAATAACTAAGGCAAGTGCAACAGCTATATATCATATCACCACTTTTCCCTTTCAGTATAGGCCTAGGCCTCAGGAGCATAAAGCATTCTGGGGGAATTGTTTCCTTTCCATGTTTTTAAATTTAATATAAAGTCCTTAATTTTCCAAAGCTCTACCACCAATACTACAAAATACAATAGTAGTTCCCCTCATTGGTGACATATCCTATACATTTAATTACATGTAGACCTATTGTTTTGAACTCAACCTGAGAACTCAACCTGAGAACTCAACCCCTGCAGAGGACCCACAACTTCCAACCATGTGCCCAAAACATGTGAGAGGAGTACACTTTAAGTGCTACAGATGGTGACATTGAATTCATGCAGAATTTAGTAGATTCTATATCTGATCAGGGTGAGGATGTTGAAAGTACATCCTACCTACAGAAAGTTAAAAGAAAATGCCTACAATGCAGGGCCGGATTAAGAAATTGTGATGGCCAGGACATGTGGATTCTTGAGGCTTACACCTCTGCCACTTTACACTAATATTCAACGTTAATTTCTTTTGGGGGCCCCCCTGGAAGAGTGGGGCCTGGGGCAACAGCCCCCTATGCCCCCCCCCTTAATCCGGTCCTGCTACAATGGACACCTCAATTTGCATGTTTTTATGTGGCAAAACCTGATTTTTGTGCATTCTCTATGGAATGTTATTGCATCCAAATGAATTTTAAACTCTGTACCACACCCTTCAAGTCCATCAAATAATTATTGAACAATTAAAATTTTTAGTTCTCATAGCTTCATTCCTGTATTTCTTTTCCTAAAACAATGCTCACATTCCCACAGATCTGGAAGAACTCTGGCAATCTAGTGATGATCTCACTTTAAAGGTCAGGCAGTGAATGAGTTAAACCATTAGCTACATGCATGGCTGTCCAGGATTCAAGAATATCTAGGATATTCAACAACTTTCTTAGATCCATGTTGTTCAGCCGACTCGTGTCCCCGTGCCGTGAGATATCCCTCGACGCAGAGAGATGTCCGCCACAATTCGGCGCTGAGAGGCGTCCCCTACCTCCTCGACTGCCGACTCGTGTCCCTGCTAGCCTAACTTTGCCGAGCCATGACCTGCGGTAGAGAGGCGGTAGGACTAGATTCTTGGGGATTTCTCCCTAGCAACTAACGGCTGGTAATGAGACATACATACGACTCCTTTGGACTCGAGCAGTTTACGTACTACTCATCCCCGATTTAACTAATGAGCATGGGCGGTTCGTGATATTTAGCGGTAGTAGATGATCAATGGAGGTAGGGTAGGCCTAGGCCCACCCTCCTATTGACGATCCACTACCATTGAATATCACGAGCCCTCACTGAATATCACGAGACACCTGTAATAT